TAGGAGGTTGGGAAAGAAATCACAGAACTGATTGTGAAGCCACAGAAATGATGCTATTTTTGTTATCGGCAGTGGGCTACAAATGGCTATAGCAGTTTTGTGCTCTGTCTTAGCTTATGTGCCCAAGTACATCTTTTAGTTGATGTTGTTAATTTGGTCAAGTAACTCTTTTAAATATATTTTTTATTGACAAAACTCTCCACACTCAGGCAGTTCCTTAGCCTTCCCAGAATTGTTAGAGAAACTCCTTTTGTGAGCCAAAGACTAGAATCCTGCATTTTAGAGTCTGATAATGTTATATCCTTGGATATTTATATAGTCTTTATCTGATGCTATTTTTAAAAGTTGCAGGGCAGCACCTGTGGCTCAAAGGAGTGGGGCGCCGGCCCCATATGCTGGAGGTGGTGGGTTCAAACCCATCCCTGGCCAAAAACTGCAAAATAACAACAACAACAAATTTTTTTTTTAAACAACAATTTTTTTAAAGTTGCAAACCGAGAATTATATTTGTACTACAGATAATCTATTTCTTGCCCTCTAAATATCTTAATTTGTGAAAGGTAAATTTCACAATTGTGAAAGGAAAAGTTTTATCTTTTCTATCTTTCCAGGGAGAAGATGTAGAGAAATATTTAGATAAACTTAAGGAAAAAGGAGGCTTGTCTGGGAAATATCAAACATCATCAAAATTGTTCCAGAACTGCAGTGAACTCTTTAAAACACAGGTAATCTTTGAAAGTGGTTAGAGGGAAATTAAAGAGGTAAACAATGTAATGTCTATCTCCATTTCTCATCCTTCAGTTATTCTGGTGAGAATAAGTTGGAAGCATGTCCCAATAGGTGCGCAGTCAGCCACTTACTTATTTATCCCTTCAAAGATGGAGTGTGCTTTTTTTTTCCCTTTTTAGACAGAATCTTACTTTGTTGCCCTGGGTAGAGTGCTTTAGGCTCCTCATAGCTCACAGCAAGCTGAAACTCTTGGGCTGAAGCGATTTTCTTGCCTCAGCCTCCCGAGTAGCGGGATCTACAAGTGTGGGCCATCACATCCAGTTAGTTTTTTGTTTGTTTGTTTCTGTTTTTAGTAGAGACAGGGTTTCACTCTCGCTCAGTCTGGCCTTGAACTCCTGAGCTCAAGCAATCCACCTGCCTTGGCCTCCAGAGTGCTAGGATTATATGCATGAGCCACTGCACTGGGCAGGGATGTACTTTCTTTTGTGTGTAAAAAGTAGACCCCCCAGTTTTTTATTTTTATCATGGTAAAATATACACAACATTAAATTTATCATTTTAACCATCTTTAAATATATAGTTCTTTGTCATTAAATACCTTTACATTGCTATGCAGCCATGAACCCACTTCCAGAACTTTGAAACTCATACCCACTAAACAGTAATTCCCCATCACCTCCCACCCTCCTGCTAGTTCCTAGCAACCACTCTTCTGTTTTCTGTGGATGAATTTAACTACTTTAGATACCTTATAAAGTAGAATCATACAGTCTTTGTTCTTTTTGGTCTGGTTTCTTTCACTTACCAGAATGTTTTCGTGGTTTATCCATGTTGTACCATATATCAAGATTTCATTCCTTTTTACGGGTGAATAATATTTTATCCATTCATCTGTCCATGAACATTTGAAACCTCAAATTTTTGTATTTTATTCTATTCTGTTCTGTTCTATTTACCTTCTCCCTCTAGGGTTGAGTGAGGGCCATGGTGTCATCATCATAGCTCTTAGCAACCTCAAACTCTTAGGCTCAAGTGATTCTTAAGCCTCAGCTTTCCAAGTAGCTGGGACTTACAGGTGCCTGCCACAGCACCTGGCTAATTTTTTCTATTTTAGCAGAGA